AAAGCATCTTATATTGTGGGACAGAGGGAGTACATGAAATTCCGGTCCAAGTCCTTTACTGCTGAATAAGAACCGAAAAATTACAAGGAAAAAGGAATCAGTTTTGGAGTATTTCACCAAATCTTGAATTCTCGAGACGGCACTTGGACATGCATAAAAGAACATCATGTTGTTTCTCTGAATTTGACATTCTCGACCAAGTGCGCCGCCATGGCAAGACCAACAGTCAGGCTGACCCATCCCACCTAAGGCATTGTTTGGTTCTTATGGAGATGATACCCAGGTAAAGAGGCCACAGGGTGAGAATTTTCTGCGCGTACAGGAATCCATGGGAGAGAAAACCATGGGTGGGCCGACCCTCTCGCATCAGTAGTTTTCAGCTCAAGAGAGACACGAGATGACGGGAGAGATAGGAGTTCCTTCCACGCCTCACAAGGCGTTTATTTTCTTCCCAGGGATTTCACGGGGAAGAGGGTGGGTTTGGCACTCCCACAGTCCCAGTCCTTAACCAGGGCCGAATTGCCACAGGACGGAAGTTTCCAGGGATTTGACAGGGAACCCCGTCGTTTCCCCTGTTGCCAAATCAGCCCTAAGGGCTCATTTGGTTGATGGGCTTCCCCCGGGATCCCTACGTTTTTCCAGGGCCCGAAACCCACGTGGAGAAGCTAGCCAGGGAAAACGAGGGCGTCATTTGGATGACCCGTTCGACGGGGTGTTCCTGCCCGACCCCTGCTCTTTCCCCGGGAAGAGGTCCCACGACTGGACACTCGCGGAAAATCTTCCCATCGTTTTCCTCGCACGATCTGAACTCGTCTGCCTCTGCTCTCCCTGCCTCGCCCGTTGCCGTCCGTCCCACTCCTCTTCCCCTCCCCTGTACCACCAAATGAGCATCGGCAAGGAGGAAATCTCCCCCATGGAAGACAGGTAATCATATGTGCTCTTGAAAATCCCCTGATGGGATTTAGTAACCTGCGCGTTCTCCCCCTGATCACCAAACAAAGCCTAAAAGCGTTCAGTGGGCACGCGTGGAACACTGCAAAATTTTGATGGGCTATTCCAGTTAACCCACCGGGAACCTACTAGACCCACTTCTTCTATCCCCGGGTTAGTTTCCTGAGCAACGGCTGGCCGACGATAGCTCCGCATCGCCCACGTCGCACATGAGCTCGCCTTTAAAAATATCTTTTTCGTCGTGTATAAAAATATATTCACTGTGCTTTTATAAAAGGTTCATCATGGATATAAAAACATTTCATGGCATATTTTAAGAAATGTTCATCGTTTATTTTAAATATATATTTGCGTACTTAAAAAATATTCATTGTTTGTTTCAAAAAATATCATCCAGAACTAAAATTCATACTACATTTTTCATCTGCATCAAACACCAGGTAGAGGTACATGTACGCATTGCCTTAATTCTCTAACCTACTCGCCTATTGGTTGTTTTCGTGTTTTATAATTGTTTTGTTCTTTTTGGTGATTTACACCATATAGGTGTGTTGCGGACGTGCTCACACCATAGTTTTTCCCCGGCTGGTAGACTTTTGGGGTGTTTGATTGGGCTTTTTCATGGCTTTTAATGTTTGGTTTATAAGCCAAAAAAGCTCCTATTTGCCGCTCATAACCCGAAGTGCAAAAGCCGAGAAAAAGCCCAACCAAACAGCCCCACACGGGAAACTAACAACATTAGAAAAGATAAAAAAATAAATAAAACTAGCATGCTGTAGTGGGCCGGCTCATGCGGGAACAACTCAAGCGAGCACTCCCTGTGACTTGCTAAAAGTGAGATATAGACGTACCATGTTGTCGGGTGCGTTTATATCTTCTTGCATCTTTTCAAAAAATGGTCAAGTGTTTATTGAAGTTAAATTATAAAATAATATTCATATTTTAAATTTTTTTTTGAATAAATAAACATTTTTTGTGTTTTTCCAGAATCCCACAATAAGAACCAAAAAAGAGAGGAAAAGAAACAAAAGACAGTAGGAGTGTTTGCTACAACGCATTGCGCCACATGGGGCAGCCCGCCAGAGCAATCTATCACAATTAGCAATAGATAGGAGCACCCAGTGTATCTTGCTCTTAGCGAGCGGGTATGAGCGGCAAACATGTTTGTATGTATATAAAATGTTACTTCAAAAATTTAAGAGGTATTAATGCATTCTTTAGAGATATTCACATATCTAGAAAATACATGATGAACACTTCTGAAATACACAATAAGATAATTTATAGATACATGTGGCTTTTTAAATAAAATGTTCACGACATCTTAAAAATGTCTGATTTGTATTTAGAAAAGTGTGCACGCTACTTACAAAAAGTACTCGTGTGTTTTATTAAAGTACCCTGAAAAATTTCAAAATCTTCCTACGATTTTCAAAACATATTTGCACATTTAAAACACATGAAATTTAAAAAATTGTTCACATATTTTGTTGAAACTGTCTATGACCTATCAAAATTTAATTGTACCATTCAGAAATTGTTCATGACACTTAAGAAGTATTCATGAAAATGTAAAAAATTGATACATAGAAAAATCTAAAAATCAGCAATAATAAAATGCGGATGTATAAATGAAAAGAAAAGCAAAAGGTTAAATAGAAAAACATAAAAATAGAAGAAAAAAAGGGAGAGAGATGCAAATAAGAAATAGAAAAATAAAAATGTAAGGAAAAGGGAAAAAAGGATAAAGCCAACGCTATAGAAAAAAATTAGAAAAAAAATCATGGGCCACTACCAACAATAGACAAATAACCGCTAGAAAAATGTTAGTGGGTCAGCCTACCTCGGAGCGTTGTAGGTGGGTGTTTATTTTTGTTTTTTAGGTAATGGCATCATTGTGGTTTGTATTTCATGCAAAAACGAAGATACATTGTTTGAGAACACATAAAATAGTAAATCAGGAGATTTGGACGGCGAAACAATAGCTTGCGAGCCATATGATTTAATAGCCAGCAAACCCGTCGCCATATTGCTTTCCCTATGATAATGATAAAAACTAACCGGATTAACATTGTGACACAAGAATGTGCATTCCTTGTTGATTCCCTCTTAGCGAGTTTCTGCCATTTTGCATCAATTCAATGACCTACATGCTGTCAGTTTCAACCAAAATATTGTTTTTTTTTTTGAGAGAAATTCAACCAAAATATTGTTGCGTCCAACATCACTCACCAAACGAGACTGTTCCTGAGCCACCGGGCCTCCACAGTCACGACATCCTCAATGAAGGGGAAACCGTTGCAAGGCACAACCATGAAGAAACCATTTGTAGGTGAGCGCTTGTTCAGGCTTGTAGTAGGTGATAATATAAATAGCATTTGCGATGATATCAAGGAAGAGTTCTCCCATTTAGCGCCTAAAATAGGGCAGCTATTGAAGACGCTTTAACGTGCTAGTGCTAGGAGTGGCTGACAAACATGCGCAAGCAACCAGCTCCATAAGCCCTCTTTGATTCGTAGGATTCTCAAAATGCAGAAATAGAAAAAATAAGGGCTCCTTTGATTCAAAAAAATTCAATAGGATTTGAAGGGTCCGAATCCTTGGGATTTTCCCCCTACATTGGTCGTTTGATCATAGGATTGAATCCTATATGAATTTTTCTTATGAAATCATGTGTACCAGATTTCATTGAGAATCTAGCATCCACTCCAACCTCTTTTTTCACTTTTTTTTTGTTTTTCTTGTGGCATCAAACACTGCGTGTTAATCCCATGGAATTCAAGTGGACATGCCATTCCAATTCTTTAGGTCCTCTTTGATTCGTAGGATTAACACAGAGTGTTTGATGCCACAGCAAAAAAAAAGGATTAGAATGGCATGTCCGCTTGAATCCCATAAGATTAACACAGAGTGTTTGATGCCACAGAGGTGAAAAAAGAGGTTGGAGTGGATGCTAGATTTCCAATGAAATTTATTACACATGATTTCATAGGAAAAATTCCCGTAGGTTCAATCCTATAAATCAAACGACCAATTCTAACCCTTAAAAATCCTATGAAATTCCTTTGAATCAAAGGAGCCTGCACTGGTCCGATCGTGGTGCAGTCCGATTCTTCAGTGGCGCTTGGGGCAATGACTGGAGAAAGCTTAACCAGGTCGGCCTATGGACATTTAGTAGCCGAGATTCGGCATCACATGGGTGTTCGAGAGTTTATTCCGTCAAAAATTAGGCGTGAGCAGAATAGGGTAGCACATCGATTGGCATTGTATAGCCGTACAGAAAGTACAACTGCTGTATGGCTTCGTAGTGTTCCACCATGTATTGAGGAGTTGGTGCCTCTCGATTGTAACCCTACACATTTGGAATAAAACTCTCTTACCATCGCAAAAAAAAAAGAGCCTAAACCAGTTTTGGAGTATTTCTCAAAGAACGGCTTTGCATTTGGCATAAATTAATACAGGAATTTCAAGTCCAAGTCCTTCACTGCTCAATGAGAAACGAAAATTTATGCGGAAGAAGGAACAGGCCAAACTTGAACTCTCGTAACAGAAAATAAACTAGGCAATGTGCATATAACAAGTTAATCGGATTCGGCGTGTTTTACAACAAACAACTGCAAAAGCAATGTTCTATGTTAAACGGTCTTATATTTGTTTATAGAGGGATACCAAATTGTTACAGTTCAGTATAATTCCATCAGGTTCTGCACCTATGAGATTTATGGTGTTTCAAAAAGAGAACAAAATAAATACTCCCTCTGTTCATAGATATAAGTCTTTTTAAAGATTTCAATATAAGTCTTATAGGAGTATTTAGGAATCGGAGGGAATACTCGCAACTTGCAAGCACGAACATAGCATGGTCCAACCGAACCATCAGCTAACCTCTCTCTCCCTCCATCGCCATTGCTAACACCTTCAAGCACTGGTCAGCAGTCAGCTCCCCAACAAACATTGCATGTAGAGTATGCGTCTCCAGCGTACAACTACAAACCACAACCTAAACCTCTCCATGAGCTCCTACATATACGGCCTGGAAGAGCCCGGCCATGCAGCACCAGCACCACGGCCAAGACGTGCCACCGCCGAAGATATCGACGTGGTGTGACATACCATCGACCCTCACGATGGTCGACCGCCGCCGCGTCTTCGCTGTGGCCGCCGCGACGCTCTGCCTCGTCTTCGCGCACGGCGTGGCCGCGGCGCGGCCGCTGGAGGAGCACCGCTTTGCCGGAGTGGCACCGGCGGCGGCGGCTGCGGATATGGTGATGGACGTGTCCGCGGCGTCGCCGGATGGATCTGCCACGTGGGAGCGCGGGGACGAGGCCCTCCGCGCCGGGAAGTGGCTGCCCCTGCCGCTGCCGACCGCTCTGACCGGCGGCCTGCGGTTCCCGGGGGTGTTCCAGTTCCCTGCGGCGACCGTGGGCCCGTCCATGCCGTGGATGGCCGGCGCGCCGCCCGCGCTCGCCGGGCCGGGGATGCCGGCGCTCGTGCCGCCGTACGTCGGCGTGACCCGACAGGAGCAGCTCAGCGTGTGGGCCTCGCTGTTCAACCCGTTCCGTGTCAGGCCGAGGGTGCCGGCCCAGCCGTCGTCGGTGCCGGCGGAGCCCAGGGTCCCCGCCGTCGCTAGCGCAGGGCTCGACAGGACGACGACGGTGGACCAGCCGGCCGCCGGCGCGCAGATCGGCGAGCCCAAGTGGGGCGTCTTCTTGGGATCCGCTACTCCAAACAACAACGGATAGCTTAATTAGCTAGTACTCCATATCTGAAGGCACCGTGGCCAAATAAGCTAATTAGCTTAGTATATACTAGTAGTACTAATTAAGTAAAAAAATCTCAAAAATATATATAAAGGAACCTTCTTTTTGGAGATTGTTATTGTAGTATAGATAGATGTATGCACTTTTTTTTGAGCAGTAGATGTATGCACTTTTGCAATGTAGTGGAGTGTTTCTAGATATAGCAAAACATATTTGATATTTGTAATGTTTATTTTGAACTAGCAATCAACCATGGCAGTTAATTTGTTATCAATCAATGTTGATTATTCTTTGTAAAGTGGCCTTAATGTATGATGTATGTTGAGTTGACGACCGCCATCATAATTTCCAACACGTGAGATCGATCAGCTGGAGGTTGCCCAACCGCGCCACCTTTTGGCGGGGGTCATCTCAGGTTCTCGGAGAGGTCGAGGAAGACCAGCTACAAGGCATTGCTGAACTCCGGCGGGACCTTGCCCTTGATCACGCCGACGAGGATGCCAATGGCAAGGTCGAGGTACCGGAGTTTGGTGACATGGGAAAGTATCACATGATACCAGCCTTTACATGATACCATGATACCAACTTGTAAAACTCAAATTTAAGCATGTCAAAAAATTCTGAAAAAAATCATGGATTCTCACAACACATATGTTGACAACCCCTAAAAAATTCAGATCGAAAATCGAAATACATAAGGAGAAACAAAAAAGACAAATCCATCATGAATAGTGTCAAAAGAAGACAAAAGCAAAAATGACACTATTCACATTTGGATTTGTCTTTTTTGTTTCTCCTTATATATTTCGAATTTTGATCTGGATTTTTAGGAGTTGTCGACATATGTGTTATGAACATCCATGATTTTTTTCAGAATTTTTTGACATGTTTAAATTTGAATTTTTTAACTTGGTATCATGGTATCATGTAAAGGCTGGTATCATGTGATACTTTCCCACTGGTGACATGGTCTGCTATCTCTTAAGAACTAGCTAGGGCAGATTGAGAATAAACATCATAAGGTATAGCTAACTTGGAGAGAAGATCGTGAGGGAATTAGGGCAAATTTTAGGTACGCCATCTTGCCAGCCAGAACATGGCGGTTAGGGTTTGTACCCGAGCACAAGATGATGAACTCTCTCCCCCAGATCCATGGCTCTTATAGCCTTACAAAGTTGAGTCATCTATTTTGAAACGGATGAGTAGATGGAAGCACACTGAAAAGTAAAATGGAGCTGCACTATCTCTCGTTGGAATTCAAATAGTGACATGCGTGATGGATAGTGGAGAGCTTTACGACTCTGCCGACAAAGCACTAAGCTGATGTCGGATCCTCATCGGACGGCTGAGCGAAGTCGGAGGAGATGACACACACAAAGAAGTGTCTTGTTTCTTCAGTTATGAACAGTACTAGTGTTGCAACCTTCAATCTTCTTCAGCTTGGGGCCCGACAGTTGTTGAGGTTGCCGAGCTCCGGTGAGATCTCATGGTGCCACCTGCCATGTCCAGCTTGGGGTTGAAGAAGTCGCACAAGAGAAAGAAGGCTGAGCTGCGGGCCCATCAGAGAAGGAGTTCTGGCTAACATCGAACACCCGGAGGCGTTGGAGGAGAGTTTGAACACCGCCAGCACCGGCAGCCGGAGAGCTTGCCGCTCTGGTTCCTCTAGGCAAGATCGATCGCGTTGACAAGGCCGGCGGCCTTCCAGTATGCGAGCGCGCCAGCGGGTCGACGAACTTCGCTTTGAGCGCCAGCAAAACCACCCACTCGTCGCCACCGACGGTCGCACGCGCAGACATTGCCGCCGCCAGACAAGATGACAGCTAGTGCCACCACCACCAGCATAACTGCCACTCTTGCCGCTATTAGAATCAACTGCACAAGAAAAAAATCCTTTAAAAAAGACCAATTCTGCTCTTTGCTGCTTTTCAGTGTTGTGCCATTGTCTATATAGCGTCCCCTCTGCTATGCTCTGTTTCTACTTAGTTTCGCTTGCACCTATGGGATTTTCAACCTTTTTCTTTTGAAAAAGAGGCCAAAACTCTTGGCCTCTGCATCAAGCAATGCATCTTTATTAATTATTCAACAACAGTATGATCCGAAGCCACCACTCACTCCCCATTATCTAGAACCGGAGTCACCGCTGATCCGCTAACAATGACGTATCAGGAGCCTACACCCGGTGCAACAAATCTAAAGCGTACACCGCATGCACACGTTTTATAAACCGCCACCACCATCAAACCGCCGACCATCTCTAGGAAGGAGATCCACATCATCCTTTTCAGACCGGCCATCCATCGACGCCGCCAAGGTGTCAAACAGCGCCACCGTCCTGCACTCGTCCGTCCAGATATAACGGTGGTGAAATGGAGAGAAGGTTGCATGATTTCTTTTAAGTAGGAGGATTATGTGCCACTAAACTAAACCTCCTTTGCATTTTCTTGACATGTGCAGTATGTGTTTGTCTGTGCCAGAACACCTCACCCGGTGAGCAAATGTGAGGCGTCTGGAGCCAGAGGAAGAAAAATATGACATAAAACAGGGCAATTCCTTTGACTGGAAAGAATATTAATTAAGTTAAGTTAATCCAAGGGGAGGCATATCCTGTGTACGGAGAAAACAAAAAGTGCAATGCCAAGGGTAAACCACTTTTCAGAAACACACAATTTAGGCGCCTATGGTTTGTGCCGCTTCTGGATCTCGGAGGTGCTCATGGAGGTAGCGTGTGCGTGCATGTGTTTATAGGGTTGGGTTTATATGCGTGTATGTGAGCATCTGCGTTTGTACCGTGTTCAAAAGAAACACACAATTTAGTTGTCTTTATGAAGCTTAGAGAGATATACATGTTTTTTGGGATTAGAGCATTAAATCAACTTCGTGTCTGTGTCACACAAGTTAAGGGATAATGAATGCATTTTAATCTTAAAAATGGTTCAAACATATTATTAAACTCGAGCTAGTTCAAATGTGTCATTAAACTCAACCTTATTGAAATTACATGTTTCATGTCCATAAAAATCTTTAGTACATCGTCATCACCTTAAAAATATCTTGCTCAATAAATTCAACTAAACAAATATTTGACAACCATCATTCATAGAATTTTGAACATATATATTCTTCATTATGTTCGGAAGAACACCCTTGCAATGTTCAACCACCAAAATCAGGAACAACACTAGTTTGGCAAGAAATGCATCTACTTGTAAATATAAAATAAATTTTGTTTCGTTTCAACAACTTGACTAAATAGCTGAACATAATTTTTGTAGTTTCCTTAAACATATAATCTCTTTTGTCATTTATAATGTCACCAAGTTGAAAAATAAGACCTCTCAAATACACATCATAGAAAACCATAGAAAATATAAGCTATTTGTTCGTACCAGACTAAACTTAATGCAACATATAACGTTTATATTAAGTAGTATCTTTTTGTGAACCATTTGCGAGGACCATAACATAAATTCATGTTTAAAAATCCATTAAAAATACGAAAGGATGATATAGCGTTTGTTGACATATTAGACAAAACTAAATTAAAAATGTAATATTTAGATAAACTACTATTTTTATTTTGTGAATTTTTGTGGGGGCCATATTAAAATAGTTCAAGCATTCGGTATATCGTAAGCCTATAAAACTGCCAGGCTACAGTAAACTCATACTCAAATCACTTCTTTCAAATACAATGGCTTCTGTTTGTGCTTCCCAAACCAATAGTGCTTTGCAATATTTCGTCACAAGGTACTGGTGGGACTATGTTTCCAAACCTACGCCACTAGGGTCACTGGCTGAGTCTAAGCTCACCGACGTCCGCACCGTAACGAGCAAAATTCAACGTCTCCATCACCAGTAACCTCCCAACAGCCCACTCTGGCATAGTGGTGCACTGTCGTGTCTCTGACGACTCCCTGGAGGTGAAGCAGGCTGGGATTTATGGGATAGTAGACTTCTCCGTCTATGTTCTACACCTATAAATGGATAATTTTGCAGTAGTAAGATCAGTAAATCTAATGTATATCATCTATAATACCAATCAATAAATCCAATGTAACATATATACCTACACACCATAACCAAAACCATCGGGTAGTTGTGCAGCTACTGCAAGCGGCCATCCTTCCAAATGGCGGACTACCACTAGGCCTACTGCGGTGGCGGCATTCGGATGCTTGCCATGGTCAGCAGCATGCTCAGGGCAGGAAGAAGATCCAAACACCCGACGACAGAACCTACACAATCAACCGGGGAGGTGTATCAACTGCTCAAGCTGAGGTAGGGAGCAATGGGTGTTCCTGGTCTTCATGGCACAGCCGCACCACACACAGCTGCTTCCCCTCCGAACATCATTGGGCGGAGGGATCACCGGAACCCAGTTTGTCCTACGGGCACGTAGTCTCTGTATTCCACGCAAACAGTAGCCGCAACCCACTGTGTCTTCAGCCCGCAGAGTAGCCATGCCATTAACATCTCTAACCTACGGCGAGACCAACGAAATCAATCTCAGAAAAATGTATGGTCGCTCACCAAACACCCCTACCATAGCCCCGTTCCCCATCGTGCATTGATCAAGAACCGAAAAGATAAAGAAAGAAGGCAAGAAACTCAGAAAATTATTCAGATCTGTCATTTCTTCACATAAGCGGGAAGATAACGCAGCATTGCAGCGGCGTTAAGAGGGGTGAACATGAGTCGAAGACGAGCTCAAGCGAGTTGAAACTAAGCAGAACAACCCCTTTCTTCCAAACCCCTGTTGCTATTCCCAAAACAATTTCTTTAGAGAGCCAAGAAGGCGAGTTTTTTCTCAAGAAACAAGAGATTCTTTGTCCAGAGTTAGGGACAATGGCTATCTATTATGTACGTACAACAGAAGTCAAACAAAACACCACATTTATCCACACAAGCTAAAAAATATATAGTAAGTTGATTTAGATTATAACAGTTGAGACTAAAAGATCTAAAAGTTACGTACAATAGTA